TCTAAAAAAATGACTGTAGATACTTGAAATTTTCACTGAATGTTTATTTATATAGGAATTTTCTATATTTGATAATATTTTCAAATTGTTTTGATTAGTTTTTAGCTGTTCACTGACATTTTAATTTTTCAACTTTTTAAGTTTTTTTTTTCTATTTATGTCAATAAAATTGTATTGGTTGGGTCAAAAAGCTTCAAAATTGAATATAAGGCTTCCAACATATTATTTCAATAGCAGTTGAAAAAATATTAAAGATACATGGCACTTTTTTTTTATAAGTATTCAAAGTTCAAATTTTGACTAAATACGTAAAAATTACGGCAATTACATTTAATTCAAGATTCCTTATAAGTTTGTTTACCTTTATCAAAAAAAAAAAAAATGTCCACCGGAAAGTCAAATATTTTAACAAGTATTTATATCCATAGTAATATATCCCAGACAGATAAACCGTCTCTTCTCAGAATCGTTTTTCGTATACAATGATATAATACCATTGGATTCAAATTTAATTCCATCCATTACAGTTACCCACTTTTAACCTACTGTACAGCACAGTGATATCCACTTTCCAGCTTTTTTTGTTTTACTTATTATATCGTAATCATTTAAATCTAATAACAATGTTAGAAATCCGAAAATTCATAAGGTAGTTATAATGGCTAACTCGAATTTGCTGAACAATTCACATAAATGTGTATCATCGACCCTACTAAGATCCAGACTTAATCGTGACTGGTGAATATTATTTACACAAGTCATGAAATGAATTACATCGCTACCACCAAAGACTATTGGAATGTTTTCCTCTCTGTTTACTATTTATAATAACTATACAGTGGTAAAGGGCACGCGCACACACCTGTTCGTATGTAACGAGTTTTTTCCCAAACCGAAGGTTGAGTAGTAAATTTCCGAACTGTCAGAATCGATTTTCGGGGTGACTTCGACCGTGTGAAAAACACGCGATTCTTTGTGTTCATGCAGAAAACCAAAGTTCATGTTGAATCCATCAGCCGTGCCTGCGCCTTTGTTGATTAACACGTTTAAGATATCGTTCACGTCAGCCCGCGTGGCCAGCAGCGCTCTCGTGATAAACTCTCGGGCTATAAACACAAAACGAATGAGTGTTATAATACAATTTAACAATATTACGCACATCACACASGAATGGAACGGAACCGAAAAAAGCTGCAAGTCGTGATCTGATAGTGAAAAAGTCACATGATATATGCGTATACGTACGTCAGTTTTTAAACCGTTCGGCGTTCAGGAAACGTATTTTAAAACTTAAGAACTTATAATTTGATGTCAACTTCCATGATTAATTACAAAATTAGATTTATTAAAAAATGTGTTTTATCTTTTATGATGGAAAACGTTACCGCAAATGAGTTTACTATAATCAAATAATCATGTACCTATAGAGTATTGTACGTACGTGCACAATTGTTGTCAATCGACCTGTCCTACGTACATACATAGATTTTCCAGTGTTTGTGTGATTTATCTACATATTTATGTTATTTTTACTAACGGATTTTGCCCTTCAGTGGTTCACTGACAAATATCGTGTTGATCGAGTACACCAGTCCGTATTGATTGTGGCCGCTTGCGTAACCAGGTAAGTGACCAGCGTACGCAAGTGCTTGAAACTTCTCTTCTCTGGCCTGAAACGTGCCACCCATTTCGGATTCATCGGGCACCACATGAGCAGCAACTATGTAATAATTGTTTACCGTCTCAGACAACGCATCTTCTGTATGGCCTAACAACTGTACAGCAATATTATGTAGACATTAATAATTTACGGGGACTCATATTTTTTTATCTAAAACACCCTTTCTCAACATTTTTTTACCTACCCCTTAACATTTTAATAATTAAATTAATCAAAAACCTAACTAGTTATTCCGGCACATTCGAATTGCGTCCGTAAATTATATTTTGTCCGTGGTTTTGTCACGACACATCCGAGTTGTGTCCACGGGGTTTTCAGCGACTGAGAATAATGATTGGTGATAAACTAGTTGATATCTCAAGTATCGATATCTTATCTATAAATATCGTTTACAATTTATTGTTAGAAATTGATTTTGTCCTTGTTAGCATCAGTCACACTTCAACATCCAATGTTCGACAAATCAATATATTATTTATATTTATTTAACTTTGCAACGGAAAATTTTGAAATAATTAAAATGTCCAGTAAAAAAA